ACACAGCTTTAGTTTATATTTTTTAAATGTTAATTTTTTTAGCCTGGTATGGTGGTGCATACCTTTAACCCCAGCATTCAGGAGACAGGGGTGGGTGGATCTCTACGAGTTCCCACCTATCCTAATCTACAGAGTGAGTTCTAGACCAGCTAGGGCTACATAGTGAGGTCCTGTCTCAATTTATTATTTTTAATTCTGTTTATGAGTATGTATCTACATGTGGATACGTGCACATGAGTGCAGGTGCCCCTGGAGTCCCAGAGGCATCAAGTGCCCGGGGCCTGGAATTGTTAGCTACCTGACATGAATGCTAGAACTAAACTTTGGGTCCTCTGGAAAAGCAGTACGTCCTCCTAAGCACTAAGCCATGTCTCCAGCCCCTTTATGACTATTTTAAAACATAGAACACTTCAGTTTGTCATGTCATCTCTAGGGCATGCTGATCTCTGTAATCTCTGTATTTTAGTATATGTGCTGCCAAAAGGAACACTTTGAAACAGGTTTTTTCTTCCTTTTTTCTTTCTTTTTTTTTTTTTTTTTTTGGTTTTTTGAGACAGGATTTCTCTGTGTAGCCCTGGCTGTCCTGGAGCTCACTCTGTAGACCAGGCTGGCCTCAAACTCAGAAATCCATAGGTTTTTTCTTAACTAAATGTTTTACAATTATTATTATTACACTTGCATGTGTGTGTGTGTGTGCGCGTGTGCCACAGCACACATAGATGCCAGAGGACCACTTGTAGGAGTCTTTTTTCTTTCCTTCTACCTTGTGGCTTCTGTGGATGAGACTGATGTCCTCCAGCTTGGCGGCACATGCCTTTCCCCGCAGAGCACTCTCACTTGCCCATGAATACCATGTGTCCCCAGGAAAGGCCACACAGCACTTATCTCTTTGGAGAAACTAAGATTATTATAGAAGATTTCCAAACATTAAAAATAAAACAGAGTGAACTCCTACATCTCCATTACTCAGCTTCAACAAATATCAACCTGTGACTAACACTGCTTCATTCATAACCCCAGGTGTCTGTCGCATCCCCATCTCCATCTCACACTGGGTTATTTTAAAGCAAATCTTAAGCATTTTATTTCCTTGTAAATATTTTTGGAATGTATCTCAAAAAGACCCTATAAAAAATAACAAAACGGGCCAGGCAGTGGTGGCATACACTTTTAATCTCAGCGCTTGGGAGGCAGAGGCAGGCAGACAGACTTCTGAGTTCGAGGCCAGCCTGGTCTATAAAGTGAGTTTCAGGACAACCAAGGCTATACAGAGAAACCCTGTCTCAAAACAACAACAACAACAAAATAACAAAACAAGAAAAATCACAATTACATCTAAGTATTGTAATTCCTCTCTCTCCATCTCTATCTGTTTCCCCCTGCTGCTCACCCTGAGCAATGTCTGGCTGTGTAGCCTTGGCTGCCCTGGAACTTGCTATATAGACCAGGCTGGTTTTGAACTCAAAGGGACCCACCTGCCTCTCCTCCTGAGAGTCAACACACTTTGCTTCTTCTTTTTTTTTTTTTTTTCCTTTTCAGTGACTGGCTTAAATCAGAATCTAGCCACATTGTACTTCATGTATATACATCTTTCTTAAGACTTTTTTTCTTTTTAAAGACAGCACAGGCTGGCCTGTAACTCTATGTTGCAGAGGATGTCTCTGAACTACTGATTTTCCTGACTCTAGCTCCCAGTGGATGAGATTACCACACTCAGTTTATGCAGTGCCAGGAACCCTGTAAATGGAACCTCGCCCCATGGGTTAGTTCCCTTGTGTGCTCTGAGGGACTACAGGGCTGCCATTCTCTGGTCTGTGTGACTCAGTGGGGGCTCACTCCAGCCATTTCCAAAGCAGCCTGCATGCACAGATCTTGTCCCTGTCTTGTACTCTGGAGGAAGTCAAGAAGCTGGAGGGGACATTAAGTGCTGTATTAAGCTTTGGAGTGGTGGTGGTGACTAAGACAAAGAGTCACTGACCCCTGGTTGCTGAGTGCATAGGGCAAGGGCCTGCAAACAGGGCTTAAGGGAACAGGAGGCAGAGAGTGTGGGAGGAGGAGTGAAGTTTAAGGAGTCTGTGAAAGGAGTCTGTGGTGATGAGTAGCTGCTTGAAGGACTGGATGGGCCAGTCCCGGGAACCCAGGTGTCAGCACTGGGAATGCTGGGACTTTAGGAAAGGAGAAAGGCAAAGGAACCAAACTGGCAAGCAGACTCAGGCCCGTAATCATATCATTTGGGAGATGGAGGCAAGAGGATAGAAGTTCAAGGTCATCTTTTGCTACATATTTAGTTTTAGGCTAGCCCTCTCCAAAACAAACAAACCAACACCAAGATACTTCGCAAGTGTTACAGTTGCTACAGGTGGGAGAATGCAGCCATGGCCAGCTGCATGGTTCTGACTGGGTGGGGAGCTTCATGCCTAACAGGGGGAAACATTGCTTCACAAGCTGGCTATTCTTTGACATATTTCCAAAACAACCACCACCACCACCACCACCACCACCACCACCACCACCACCACCACCACCAAAAAAAACCAAAAAACTTAAAGGGACAGGCCTGAAGTTAGGGATCATCAGAAACCAGGTTATTTAGCTCCTTATAGCATCTCTCTCTGAGTCTGGCTTTCTTCATTCTCACAGATGTCTGAGTTGAAGGTCAAATTGGCCGAAGAAACAGCTTTCCCAGTAATGATACCAAGGAGAGTTATGTGATCTGGTGACAAATAGTCACCCAAGGGCCTTGCATGAAATTTGATTTCTAAGGCAAGCATTCCTTGTGAAAATAGAATCATTCCAGTGCCCAGATTCCAAAGAATAGATGGTACTAGGAGAGTTTTCAGGATTGTTAGATGATTTTGAATTTTCTTTGGAAAATAGCCTTGTGGAAGGGAGCTGTCTATATGTGGTCTCCATGGGATTGCTTCCTACTGGCAGCCAGTCACTGCCAACGCCTGGCATCTGCTTGAGAAAGTGAGTAGTTTCCCACGCTCCCCCATCACAGCGGTTGGGATGTTTGTGCTGGGGGAAGTTGGATGTCGTGAATTGGGCTGCAGGAGGCCTCTTGCATGATTGCCATCCCTGCAGACTGTCAATTTATTCTGGAAGAGTCTTACTGTTGCCATGTGATGGAAAATATGTTACCTGAGAAATTAATAGCCCATGACACTTATAAAAAGAGATGGTTTTGGGACTGGGAAATATAGCTCAGTGGGTAGAAGGCTTGCCTGGCATACACAGTCTTTGGTTCCATTCTCTCACATAGCATAAACTGGAGGTGATAGTGTGTACCTATAACACTTGTTGGGTAAAGACAGGAGGGTCAGAAGTTCAAGGTCAGGAGGCTGGAAGTATATAGTTTAGTGGGTCAGCACCTAAGTGTGAAGCCCTAAAGCCGACTCCCAGGGCTCCAGTAAATAAATAATTAAATAAATAAGTTTATCTATTAATTAAAAATAAATGATACTTTTGTTGAGTTCCAAAGCTCTAGGTTTTTGTTGTTGTTGTTTTGTTTGTTTGTTGTTGTTTTCCCAGCCTAGGTTGGAATCAGCTCCACCATCTCTAACCTTATTAACAGGTTCTGGGGAATGAAAGATCTGTCTCCAGATAAATATGAAAAGTGAATAGCAACCCAACTCTGGCTTCCACATGCCTTCTCAAACACATGGCAGTGAAAATACTTTATAAGAACTAGAAAAGATTCTGAGAACTCCACACATGCCATGATTAAGCTGGCCTTGAACTCATTAAGTAGCACAGAATGACCTTGAGTTCCTCCTGCCCCCACCTACCCAGTGCCAGCATATACTACCAAGCCCAGTTCATACATTGCTGGCAGTTGAACCCAAGGCCTGGTGTGGCCAGGCAGGAATTCTACTGACAGATATATTTGCAGTCCTGAGATGATTGACCTTGGAGTCAAGATCTTTCAGGCAGAATTCCAGTGATATTATTTATGTATGGTGACTTTGGATGAGTTAATTACTTTACTTAATTTTCCTACTAGAAAAATATGGGTACCAGTGACACCTAGTCTTCTGGTGTTTTCCCAAGGGTTAGATGCTACCTACAAAGTGGTGAACTGTTAATGCTGTTAGCTGGTACTATGCACTAAGCTAGTCACAGTAGTTAACAACACTAGGCAGTTACCTCTTAACACATTCATTTTATCACATTATCCTTCCCTTTCTTTGGATTGTGGGTTCCTTTAAGGTGGGGCTGTATCTAGCCTCTCTGGTACCTACAGTGGTATAACACTGACCCAGTGTGGAAGGCTTACTGCCCTTGTTGAGTTAATTAATCATTTGGATAACGCTGGTAGTCAACAAATCTTTGTTACTCTCATCATTTTGGTCAGGAGGACACAGAGAGGAAACTTGAGACATTTGAGATACTGCCCATACAGTGACAACAGGCACCCTGCATCGTGTCCTAAGATTCTTGTCTACCATTCCCTGCAGCCTATCATGTTGGGAAGACAAATGCTGGTTTTGCCAGTCAGATTCACCTCTTTCTGCGATTCTGTTTATTTTATGTTCCATGGGCAGCTGCAACAGTATCCGGTAAGGGAGTGATCACTTCCTGTGTTAGTTACATTTGTGTCTTTGCAGCTGCCGTGACCACCAGAACTTGATAGCAACAACTAAATGGAGGAAAGGCTTATTTTGGCTCATGGTTCTGGTGAGGTTTTATCCCGTCATAGTGAGGAAGGTACCATAGAGCATTGTGAAGCTGCACAGTCTGCGTGATGAGAACCTGTGGCAGGGGCTGTTCACATGATGGCTGATTAGGGGACAGAGAGCAAGGCAGGGGGAGCTAGGAGCAAAGGCCTGACCTTGGTGATCTCCTTCCATCAGCCAGGCTCCAGTGACTCATGGTTCCACAGCCTCTCAAAATGGTACCACCAGCTAGAAAATGTGTAGGTCATGTAGAAAATCAAACCCTAACATTCACGTCAGGAGTTCACCTTTGCATTCTCTCTAACCACACTTGCTTCCTTACAGGTCACCACAAATGGCATCATCGCCATGAGCGAACCCCCAGCCACAGAATCCCAACCTGGAACCTTCCCACCCAGCTTCGGCTCAGTAGCACCTTTCCTGGCTGACTTGGACACAACAGGCGGTCTGGGGAATGTGTATTATCGAGAAGACTTATCCCCCTTCATTATTCAGATGGCAGCAGAGTATGTTCAGAGAGGCTTCCCAGAGGTCTCTTTCCAGCCCACCAGTGTGGTGGTTGTCACTTGGGAATCTGTGGCCCCCTATGGAGGGCCCAGCGGGAGCTTTGCTGAGGAAGGCAAGGTGAGTGTATCGCACATGGAGATGCAGGTACCTGGTCTGGTATGTTGGCTGTAGTCTTCGGGCTTCTGGTTTGTCCTTGTTCCAGTGGACAACATGCCTATGCTATTGCTCAAGACAGGAAGTCTAGAGAAAGGTCCAATAAATTGCTTGCTGCATGCAGGTCAGCAACCTCCAGATGCTTATCTATAAGGGCTGTCTAAATCATCTCTGTGACTCTCTGATATTGAGAAAGCCAGTTATTTGAGGAGATTGCTCCATGGCAAACATATGCCCGGGAAATGGTACCTGTGTTCCTTCTATAATTGAGAAAAAGTGGGAAGATAGCTTCTAATTATAGAGAAGTTATTAATGGGAAATGATAGATATCAAAGTTCTGATCAAAGTTCTGATCAATGTGCTCCTCTTGAGTGAAGGAAAGTCCTTTAGTAAAGAAGCTGCTTTAGTAATATTTGATGGAACAATCCCCAAACTTTTGGCCTTATCTCCTTTTATCACTGTCCCCCATGGGACACACAGCATTCCACAGAACACACTTTGGAGAAGTCTGTGGTGGGTCTGCATAGCTCACATGCTTCGAAAAATTGGAAGCTTGCCTGACCCCAGAGTACTGAGCTCTTGCTTGCCTCTTGGGACTAACCTGATAAAACTCCGTATACCCTCTCCAGCACTTGTACCAAACTCTTAGATTTGCCTTGAGCATACGTTTTCCTTTGTTCTGGTATGTTGTAAGCCTATGACATCTTGCACTCACTGTCCTTTGTCCTTGACATGACCTTCTTCTGATCGAAGGCCCTCAGGCCCTCCTGTGGAGCCTTGATCATCAAGGGCCTCTCCTACCCTGACCCTACCCAGCCCAGGACACTTCTTCATTTGAGCTACTTGGAGCATGTGCATGCATTTCTATTACATCATCTGTCCTCAAGCTAGGCCATGTTTTGTCCTTATATCCAACTCTCCACGTAGATATTATGTTCTAAATCTCAGGAGAGTGAGGTAGAGCACTGCTGGCCCTCCACTGTCCTTTCTACAAGGAGCCCAGTGAACGGCATGCTTTGAGAGTGTGACTGTGTTGCTAGAAACTGACTTTTAACTCATCTTCACAGAGAAACACGTTCCAGGCTGTTCTGGCCTCCTCAAATTCCAGCTCCTACGCCATTTTCCTCTATCCCGAAGATGGTCTACAGTTCTTTACAACATTCTCAAAGAAGGATGAAACCCAAGTACCCGCCGTGGTTGGCTTCAGCAAAGGTCTAGTAGGATTTCTGTGGAAGAGCAACGGCGCCTATAACATATTTGCCAATGACAGGGAATCAATTGAAAATTTGGCCAAGTACGCATATTCCTTATTTGTTTTTCTTCATTAGATTCCCCATAATAATATTATTATGTATTGTTTTATCGAACAAAATGTGATAGGCATTAAATTACCTGAGAATGTTCTTATAGATTTAAATTTTCTAGAGAGATATTTAAACGTTGAAACAGTATTTCTTCCTGATGAGCCTTAGGGAATATATTAGCATGAAGAGGTCGTTGGTTTGTCTCCATCTTTATTTATGTGTCTGAGCATTTCGCATCACACAAATGCAGTGCCTGTGGAGTCTAGAAAAGCACTGGATCCCCTGAGACTGAAGTCACAGATGGCTCTGAGCCACCACACGGAAGCTGGGAATAGAACCCAGACTCCCTGGAGGAGTTACCAATGATCTTAATTCTTGAGCCATCTCTCTAGCCCCAACAGTTTGCTGTTTAGCGTGCACCCTCATGCAAAACTGTCTTGACTGTGTCCTCTGAGTTTGAAGTCAGAAATGACGGAAAGTTAAACCTGTCTTCTGCCAGGAACCTACGCTAAGAGTGGTTTTCCTCTCGCTGTTGCAGAACAGTTCTTCACTGCACTCAGTGAAGCCTCATTTAGTGCTGGTGTAGAAAAGCAAGGGATGTGGGATATTATACAGAAGAGAGGGCTAGCCAAGATTATTGGGTTTTTGTTTTGTTTTGTTTAGGTATTTTGAGACAGGATCTCATATAGCCCAGGATGTCCCCAAACTTTTTACATAGAGAAGGATGAACCCCAGATCCTTGAACCCCAGATCCCTCAGTCCCCACCTGCAAGGTGCTGGGGTTACAGGTATGAGACAGCATGCCTGACTCCCAGACTGGTTTTTAAGAGTTAAAATCTTACATCTCCCAATACTCTTTAACCTACCCCCCTCCCCATTTTGTCTTCTTAGGTCTAGATTAATGTGTTCCTGTCCTTTGCCAAGTGCTGCTGACAAATGCAGAATAACTGACTTATGTACTAGGAGAAGCCCTGAGGCACAGTGCTTGCCCTGTTCTGTGGCGTAAACATGTCTGCCATGGCCATGACTTAGAAAACCAGAAAGATGAGCATAGAAAATGAGTATCATTTGAAAAGTTTAGGTACTTCTCACTTTTAAAAACATATGACTTGGCAGGGTGGTGGTGGTGCATACCTTTAGTCCCAGCACTTGGGAGGCAGAGGCAGGCAGATTTCTGAGTTCGAGGCCAGTCTGGTCTACAGAATGAGTTCCAGGACAGCCAGGGCTACACAGAGAAACCCTGTCTCGAAAAACCAAAAACCAAAAACCAAAAACCAAAACAAAAAAAAAGAAAAGAAAAGAAAAACTAAACCAAACCAAACCAAAACAAAAAAACATATGACTTAGTGTATTATGACTTAGTGTATGTATATGTATATACAGTACATACATACATATGTGTACACATACTTACATATTTATTGGTACTGAGGATTGAACATAGGGCCTTGTTATGCTGGGGGAGCACTTTTATCATTGAGCTACATTGCTAGCCCTTAATTTAATTTTTGTACAGTGACTATGATGTGACTGTTTCTCTCTTTTTATTTTTTATTTTTTTTTAGGTTTTTCGAGACAGGGTTTCTCTGTGTAGCCCTGGCTGTCCTGGAACTCACTCTGTAGACCAGGCTAGCCTCGAACTCTCGAACTCAGAGATCCGCCTGCCTCTGCCTCCCAAGTGCTGGGATTAAAGGCGTGAGCCCACTGCCCAGCTTTTTTTTTTTTAAAGATTTATTCATTTTTTATTTATATAAGTACACTGTAGCTGTCTTCAGACACACCAGAAGAGGGCATTGGATCCCATTACAGATGGTTGTGAGCCACCATGTGGTTGCTGGGAATTGAACTCAGGACCTCTGGAAGAGCAGTCAGTGCTCTTAACCACTGAGCCATCTCTCCAGTCCGTGACTATGTTTCTTAAGTGGCTTTAAGAAACCATTTTATATAATTTCTGAAAGAAATACTTCTGATCACAGATACACAAGAGTAATTCAAATACTGGGTTAAAACTTAGAGATTAGGGTCACTCGGCTGCATTTAGCATATTTACTGCCTCCAGGTTTTGAATCTCATTTCCTTTTCAGAGTGTGAGCACTGTCAGCATACACAGTCCCCCTTATTGTGTGTGTAAGGGGGTCCCTGGCACCAACCAATTCTCCAGTTCTCTGGATACTTATAGTTTAGATCAGGTCTGGTACCAACCTAGCTACCTGGAATCCATAAAGATACCACATCTATACAGTCTGGTCTCATATGATGCCCCCACCTCAGCTGCCAATGCCCAGGTCCTACAGCTGTGCCTGTGCTTCTGACCACACTGTTATAAGTCAACGAGCCTGTCTATTCTCAGAATCAGTAATTTACTAGAACAGCTCACAAAGCTCAGAAAAACCCCTGTTACTCTTCCTGGGTTGTTATAAAGAAGCATGTCAGAAGGCTGGAGCGATGGCTCAGCAATTCTTTCAGAGCGTTCCAGTTCAGTTTACAGTATTCACATTTGGTAGCTCACAACCACCTGCAACTCCAGCTCCAGGGAGATCTGAGCCCCCGTTTTTGGCCTCTCTGGGAACTTGCATGTACATGTACATACAAACACACACACACACACACACACACTCACAAATAAATAATAAAATAAATCCTAAAACAATACAAAGCAAAGCAAAACAAAACAGAACAAACCTCCAAAACACAACAGGACTAGAGAAATGGTTCAGTTGGAACAAGACCTGACTACTATTCCCACACCCACATAAAAAGCCAGACATGGTGGTATCTACTCATAAATCCAACCCTGGGAAGTTGAGATGGATGGATTCCTGGCATTTTGCCAGCCATCCTTGTCTTCTTAGTGAACCCCAGGGCAGTGAGGTACCCAGTCTTAAAAACAAAACAAAATCAACAAAACAAACAAACAAACAAAAAAACAAGGTGTCCAGGCAAGGTGGTACACGCCTTTAGTCCCAGCACTAGAGAGATGGAGGCAGATGGATCTCTTTGAGACCAGCCTGGCCTACAAATTGAGTTTCATAACAGCTTGGTATACAGAGAAATCCTGTCTCAAAAGACAAAACAAAACAAAACAAACAAACAAAAACGCCAAACCAAAAAACTAAGTAGATTTTACTCCATTCGATGAAAAGAAAGTAGAGGTGAAATGACTCTCTGGCCCCTCATGAGACGGGGCACATAAACTGTGACTAGTACAAACTGGTGGCATTGAGAGTCTTTGGCATCCTGGGATGGCCCTAGAGGGTAGGCTCTTCATGGCGTTGTGTGTATTTAGACTCGGTCTCACTATATAGTCCCTTCCTGTATGAGCTCTGGGATGACCATCCATGGCCCTGCTGCCCTCCTGGACAGCAGCCCTTGCCAAGGGTAGACCCATGCCACACCTTTCAGATGGGCGTAGGCTATCTAAGCTCCTCCTGCCTGCTTGGTCAGTGGGGGCCGCTTGTGTGCTGTGGCCTATTCTCAAGATGCCTTCCTTGCCTCTAGGAGCAGCAACGCTGGGCACCAGGGTGTGTGGGTGTTTGAGATTGGAAGTCCTGCTACTGCCAAGGGGGTGGTGCCTGCAGATGTGAACCTGGACCTGGACGATGATGGAGCAGACTATGAGGATGAAGATTATGACCTAGCAACCTCTCATCTCGGCCTGGAGGATGTGGCCACCCCACCCTCTCCCTCCCATAGTCCAAGAAGGGGATACCCTGACCCACACAATGTACCTGGGATCCTCTCTCCTAGCTACGAGGCTACAGAGAGACCCCATGGAATCCCCACTGAGAGGACCAGATCTTTCGAGCTGCCAGTACAGAGGTTCCCCCAGCAGCACCCTCAGGTCATTGATGTGGATGAAGTAGAGGAAACAGGAGTTGGTAAGATACCCGTTTTGCAAAGTGGAACATTTTTTTTTTTTGTCTGCTTGGTTTCTAGACAGGAGTTGGCTAGTGTAGGGTGGGTCATGTTCCCCATGGGGAGACTTTATGGGGAGTAGATGGCCTGAGGGAACAGGGGCTGAATGTTCTCACTGAAGAGCAATGGGTGCACAGATCCCATGACTTCTGAGTGACCCAGTGATCTTTTAGGATTAGAGATTTGTTTCTAGACACAGTGGGAGTATGCCTCATTTCAAGATTCTTCATAATGTATTCTGTTTTAAAGAAAGTCAGGGCCAGGGAAAGATGGCTTAGCAGGTAAAGGTACTAATGACCCGTTAGATCTTCTGAAGCCCACACAGTAGAAGGGGAGGTATGACTCCTCCAAACTGTACACACACACACACACACACACACACACACACACAGACACAAATGGACAGACAGATAGATGTATTGTCCTTTTAAGACAGGGGTCTCATTTATGTGGCTGTGGATGACCTGGGATTTAACATAGACTTGACTGGCTTTGAACTCATGGAGATTCTTCTGCCTCTGCTTCCCATGCACTGCCGTAATCTGGCTAATACATTTTTTTTCTTTCAAAATGTCATTGTTGGTTGGGCTGTGGTGGCACACACCTTTAATTTCAGCACTTGGGAGGGAGAGGCAGGTGGATATCTGTGAACTGAGGACAGCCTGGTCTATAGAGTGAGTTCTAGGACAGCCAGGGCTATGCAGAGAAACCCTGTCTACAAACCTAAAACCAAAACCAAAAAGATCATTATTGAGTGTTGTTAGTCCAACACTGAAGAGGCAGAATCAGGAGAATCGAAGCTTCTAGCCTGGGATACAGTAAGATCCTGTCTTAAAAACCAAAAGAGAAGAAAGGAACGTCCTTAGAATATTTTGGAACTCAAGTGTCTCCTCTGCAACTTCCGAGATGTATTCGCCCACCTGAAAAAACATTCTAGAAGTTTGCTTGGCTCTTTGTGCTGCTTTTCTTTCACATTTTTTCTTTTAGGTTTTGGAATTCAAGCAACTGATTATTTTTCCTCCTGTCAGTTGCAGTTGCTTTCTAAAGAACTAACTCTCTCTCTCCCTCCCTCCCTCTTACCCCCCACACACAAGCACACGTGTGTGTGCACACACACACTCACATGCACACACATGAGCACACACACGTACATCGGACCCTCTTAAATTGTAGTTTTATTCAATGTGGTATCTCCTCTTCCTTCTGAGTTTTGGTTTTTCCAAGGTAGCCCTGTCCTCAAACTCAGATCTGCCTGCCTGTCTTCTGATTCCAGGGATTAGAGGTTCATGACTACGCATGCACTCACAGTGTGATATATTCTAATCAACCATATTGTATCAAGTGTTTCCTACATTTTGAGGAAAATTACTTGAGCATTCTTTAAATATTATAAGTTCTCAAAATGTGCCTTTATTTTTCTTGAGATACACACACACACACACACACACACACACACAGAGGCACAATGGTTAGTTTTAAATGTCAACTTGATACAATATAGAATCACATGGAAAGAGTGTCAAAGAAAGATATCTATATCAGATTGACCCATGGGTGTGTCTGTGGTTGCCTAATTACCTTGATGGATATAGGAAGACCCAGGCTTCGAATGAGCTGCACCCTTCCATTGCCTGGGGCGCTGGATTGTGTGAGAGTGGAGAAAGCTGACTGAGCAGTAGGCGTGCATGTGTTTATTCCTTTCTGCTCTTGATTGTGACTGTGACATGACTGGCTTCTTTAAGTTCCTTCCTTGTACAATGGACTTATACGCCAGATAAACCCTTTTCTCCCCTAAGTTGCTTCTTGCCAGTTGTTTTGTTTTGTTTTTGGAGACATGTTCTCTGTGTAGCTTTGATTGTCTTGGATCTTACTCTAGTCCAGTGTGGCCTTGAACTCACAGAGATCTGCTGCCTCTGCCTCTCGAGTTCTGGGATTAAAGGTATGTACCAATACTGCCCAACATTTGTCAGAAGATTTTTAAATCATGAAAACGGGAAGAAAAATAGGATATCAATTGAGAAATCATTTAAAAAAAGAGATTTGTTTATTTTTATTTTCTGTGTATGTGTGTTTTACCTGCATGTCTGGTGTCCAGAAGAAGTCACCAGATCCCCGGTAACTGGAATTACAGATGGTTGTTAGGAATCGAACCTGGGTCCTCAAAGAGCAGCAAGTGCTTTTAACTACTGAGCCATCTTACCAGGTCCCATCAAGACCCAAGTAAATGGAGTCATTAGAGCCTTTAATTGTATCATAGGACCCTTTACTCTTTCTAGTAGCGGACATTATAAAAATTCTTAGAAACATTTAGTCTGTTCATGGCAGTATGCCAGCTGCTAGGTAGTCATTACTGTCTGTCCATATTGAATACCCAAAATGGGCAAGATGGGGATTTATGCTCACTACTGAGGCACAGAAGTGACCAAGATGCTATTTGATGGAAAGATGATTTCATGGATTCCAGCCTTCTACCTCATAAACACTGTTCTCTGGATTTAGGGGAGAGAAGGGGGACCCTGGCTTCACCAGCAGCATGAAGCTTCTGATTCTGTTATTGTCTATGTTTGCTTATAGGTGTTAAGGTTTGAGTCTCACTGTTTTTCCCTACCCTTCCTAAATATCTGAAACGACCATTTAAGGAACTGTCATATTTGTTTACTCCCAACAACAAATGGTGGTGATAGTCGCAGAAGCCCAGACTTCAACTCAAAATGTATCTGTGGCAGATGGCTTTTTTTTTTGTCCCTTTTCCAAGTTATTTCATTGTGTTTATTAGAAACATCAGCTGTCTAAAGCCTGCAGTAATGTTCTGGTGTTGTTTAAGTAGTTGCCCTCAGATACACAGAACACAGCAGACCCATCAACAGGGGATTGCTGGCTGGATCTTATGTAATCACGAAACCTAGTGTTTACTCAGGTGCCCTTCAGTTCAGTCACAGCTCATCTTTGTACACACTGGAAGTTCCAAGTATTTGCAGCCAATAGAATCTACCCGAGGATACATTTTTATCTTGATCTTCACTTGTAAAGTCAATTATAAACAGGATTATTGTTGTTTCTAGAAGTTCACTCCTCTTGGGATTTTGAACTTCATTCCAAATGAATTTGCTCTGGCTAGATCATTAAATTTAATAGGCAGGTTTGTGAGTCTAATAAAACAAACTCAGGAGGTGGAAATTTAAGGGAGAGAGGGATCGTTTTTGAGTCTTGGGTCAAAGGATCTCAGACGTAATCGAAGGATTGTTTCTGATTGGCTGATTTTAAATTTTATTTTTGGAGATTATAAAATAATTACATCATTTCCCTCTTTCTTTTCTCCCTCCAAACCCTCCATATTTACCCCTTGTCTTACTCTCTTTCAAATTCATGGCCTCTTTTTCTTTAATTGTTGTTATCGTTGTGTGTGTATTTCTATAATAGCTTTTGAGTATATAGGAATATAATATATACATACTCATTATATATATATTCAACAATATATTGTTATTGTTGTTTTTGTTTGTTTATTTCTCCACCATTTTCCTTCACTCGTAGCTTTGTCTCTGGAGTCCTCTCTGTTCATTGTTTGCTTTTGAGACACCATCCTGCTATGTCGCCTGGACTGACCTCAAACGAGATTCTCCATATGAATAGTGATGGGGCTGCACTGTATATAATATATATGCACACTTAAGAACTGTGACAGTTTTTAAGCATGATTTGTCAGTTTCTTTTAGACTTGTTTACATCAGTGATCTGGGTTACAGAGCCTTGTCTTTATCCAAATGGCCACACTCATGTCATGGGCTTTAGTCTGCTGTGGTTGGCTTGGCCCCTTGAAGGTCTTAGGTAGATGCGAGTCCAGCTGGCTCAAGGGCACCTGTGTTGAAATGCCTCTCAGCTGAGAACCTGCAGAACTTTGACAGGTATGCTTCTGTTTTCTCCAAACAGTATTCAGCTACAACACAGGTTCCCAGCAGACGTGTGCCAACAATAGACACCAGTGCTCTGTCCATGCTGAGTGCAGAGACTATGCTACTGGCTTCTGCTGCAGGTGTGTGGCCAACTACACGGGCAATGGCAGACAGTGTGTGGCAGAAGGTAATGTACTATTCCTGTGTATTTTCAGCTTCACAGAGAAGGAAGAGTGGCTTTGGGTCTTGGAGCTTGTTTATAGATGTGTCTTTTGCCCTGTTCTCTGGAATGTACAGTTTTTAATGACATTATCTCTGTTATATTCTCTGATGGACATTCCGCCTAGGATGTCCTTTTTGTTGTTGTTGCTTTTGTTTGTTTGTTTTTTCTCCCCCGATTTCCTTTACTCATAGCTTTGTCTCAGGAGTCCTCTCTGTTTGTTGTTTGTTTTGAGACACCATCTTGCTATGTAGCCTGGACTGACCTCAAACTTGAGATTCTCCATATGAAGAGTGATGAGGCTGCACTGTGCACCCCACACTTGGCTTGAGTCTCTAGCTCTGAGTATTGCTTGTAGATCTCTCTCTCTTTCTCCTTTTTCTCCTTCCCTCCCTCCTTCCTCCCCCTCCACCAGTTCTGTCCCTCCCTATCTGGCTTAGACCAGGGTATGTAGTGGGCTCAGTTTTTCCATTGTCTCTGCCTTCTTTCCTCATGTCCCTGAAACCACATCATGCCTGAGGTGAAGCTGACAGGGTGTTGTCCTCAGTTCTAGCTTGTCAGACTCAATGCACATCCAGCTACAGAATGGATTCCATGATAGCTGAGGTCAGCTTTGACCTCCATCCCCAAAGGACTGGCTAGTCCCTATGCCCACACAGTTAGAGGAGTCTTCTGTGTAAGTCTAAGGGTCTTTGTCACACTCACTGGAGACCTTTGGGACTTACAAATTAGAATGAAATAAAGTGACAGAACCTTGTATTTGGCCTTTGTCCTTTCCGATGCCACCAAATTGCCTCATTTGTCACAAACTACCTTCACGTGTGCTTAATGGGGACTTCAGTTGTTTTGTAAAATCTGACTAATTAAAACCTAGTTAGAGAAATTCGTTCTGTTTTCCAGATTCCTTACTCTCGCAATCTGAAATCAGTTATTTTAATTACACACACACACATACACACACACACACACACACACACACAATTGTTTCCTTCTGGGTCATAATTAAAGAAAGTGAGATTGATTTTATTTTCATCCTCAGCAATGAACCAACATGCAGTTTAGATGTCATATTAATTTGGGAGCATGTTTTTAATTTTAAACTGTTTTTTATTTCCTTCCAAATCTTGTCACCCCAGGGGTGGGATGCTTTTTAGTATTTGTGCTAGGCTTGGCTCTTGTACCTTTTGCCCTAGGAAAAGCTTCCAAAATCCACACGGAAGTGTATTCCCTCCCTCCCTCCCTCCCTCCCTCCCTCCTTCCCTCCCTCCCT